TGGGGTAATAGTCGAAAGGGAACACTTCATTACAAGATTCCATTAATTGACAACAATAATGCCTTAAGATTTAATACTAATGCATTCAAGACATTAATGATAATCCATTAATATGAGGGAACTGACAATGTAGAAATGGAATAAAATATATGGTCTATTGTAACAATGTAACAGTTGGGCAGGCTAACAGCTTGCATAATGAAAATTAATGGCTGGTAAATTGAAACCAGCAGAGAAAACGAATGTAAGTATGGCTGTTTCTGAGCAGATAGAAAAGGGAATATATAATATAGCTATGCTATTGCTACATGAGAAATAAGCAGAATTATAGGCCTATGCTGGTGAAATGTTTTGATCACAGAAGATTGGATCCAGTATAGAGAAATAATGCTCAAAATCCAGATCTTCAGATCCAACAAATTATTAGCAATGTTTTATTTTAGTAGGAAGATAAAAAGTTCTGCAGTCCCCCAAGATGTTTCACAGACTCAAAGAGAATACTTGTGGAGTACTTTCAAATGGACAGTATTACAAGTGGGTTCCCGCAACAGGGAAAGGGGTCTACTTAGCAGCCAACTTCATTCTAGATGTATCCATTCACCAGCCACACAGCAGAAGTGTGTCCAAATGCTGCTAAAGTCTCAGGGCTGTGTGAAAATAACCTGGTGCAGTTGTGATTTCTGCCTTCTATATAGGCACAAATGCAGTTTGGCTAAGTGAATTAAGAGTTGGGATGGGTAAAAATGGCAGCACAGGCTAAGATGGGTTTCACTGATACTGAGCTACATGTAGTAAATATAAAAGTATAATCAAAATAAAGAAATACAAAACCTGATAATTATACAGGATAAAGATTAACTTTAAAGGTCCTGTGCAATGTGCATCAATATTTCAACATGTCTATTCATTAAGCGTATCCTTAAAAATGAAACAGAACAGTCTTTTTGCAAATACTTACCACACAAGTAACAAACCAAGGGTCGCTTGCATCAGTTTAATCTTATTGATTTTAATGGGAATACCGATAAATGGGCTACAATATTGACGGCTAACATTGGGCTTTATGCCGCCAAAGTTCAGAGCTTTCAAGTCGCATGGATTTCAAGGGGAGAGTATACATTTTTTATCTCTCACCATGCAACTTAAGCACTTTTGCACTTGGGCTGGACTGTGTGTTTGTTTGTTTTTTGCTTAAACATATAAAAATGTATTGAATTAGCTCAGTTTGTAACCTGTTCACCTTTTCACTCGATAAGGGGTTGGCTTATTCCATTACACTGACCTCCCCCCTTTTGGCAATTTGATGTGTTTTTCTGTAACACAGAATATTTAAACATATCACACATATAAACATGTAGCTTGACATGAATACTTCACTTCTATATACATGCCTACTGTGTACTCACTAACAATAGAATTATTATAAGATACAGTAAGGCTTCCACCCACCTTCAACTTATTTGCATTTTCAGTAAGAAATAGGAATATATTTGCTGAATTAACCAAGTAATTGTCATACACTAATCTCATACATCCTACCCTCCCCAAAGGAAAACACGATTGAAGATTATTTTGTTTTTCATTAAGATTAAATCTTCAAACTGCGATACAATTTGCTATAAAAAAGAAATGGGTAACTTATAGACAAATACAGAAAAACTGTATTGCAAACTTTAAAACAAATGTTTAATAGTTGTATTTCCATGATGATTTTGTATGCTGCACTCCAAATATGCTGCACTCCTAACATTGTGTAATTGAAAAAAAAAAACCTTGAAAAATTATATTGATGCAATTTTAGGCAGTAGGTGTGGCTCGTTTGTACCTTTCAGGCTTTCAGAACCCTGGAGGTACACATTTCTCATAATGGATCAATAACCAAAGTGTACAATGAGGAATATTCCTTAATGGACTTCAGTTTTACATTTTTATTATTTGGTGAAATAAACAAGGTGCTTAAAAACAGCAGGAAAAATAATACAAACAAGTGTCAGAACGAAAGAAAGAAACAAGGGGATGGGGAGACTGCAATTTCTTCCTCAATGATGAACAAAGAATTTTTGGGTCTACTATCTGAAAGATTTATAAAAGCTGGTAGTCAATATCAGCTTATTCCTGAACTGTTAGCTCATACCAGTGATTTGGTACTGGCCCATTTTTGAACATTATTTAGATATTCACATCTTCAGCAGTTCTGCACACTGCAGTTTTAATGGAACATACTCCCTAAGCTAAATCTGAACTGAGATCCCAGGCAAAAAAAAAATCAGCAAATAAATATCTTGCATATATGTCAAACTATATTCTTCAAACAAAACCTTACATCTTACGAAAGAAGTCAGAAAGTACCAGGGGAAAAAGTCTCTGCTTTCTACTACTACAATACTGTTAAATCTCCAAGGCTGAAAATGTCCCATGTATTGATTTTCTGCCTTAAAAAAAATTAGATGGTGAAGTAGAAATTCAAAACACAGGAAGAAAATGCATATATATGAGAGCACTGGTTCAGCAAGATATCAAATATACAGTATTCTAGTGTCAAAAGTACAGGCAGAAATGTCCAAGAATTCTTGGTGAAAAAGGGAGTAATTGAGGAGTAAAAATTCTACTTGACAATCACTCACATTCTAACAGTGCATTAATTATAACAAAAGCCAGATGATAAGATGAGCAACAGAGTCATAGTGTTCAGTGTTTACAGCAGAGTGCTTTTCTCTGCTCATTTAAATGAGGTTGGAAACATATAGTCATGTAAGGAAACTTTTCAAACAGCGCTGTTTATTCTATCTTCCTGGCTTCCAGAGGCAGAGTTGTGACATTGATTTCTGAGTTAAATGATAGTACACGGCGATTTGGATAAAGTGTTCACCATGCCTCATTCTTTATCAAAAGCTTACTTAGTCCTCCAATCTGGCTCGAACTATTCTTTTGCCTCTAGGAAGAGTGTTTCTTGAGGGTACAATTTTAACTCCAGTAATGATTTATTTGGATCCAGCTGGGTCACCTGTGAAGATAAAAAAGAACAAGAAAATCTGAAAAGGTATGCACAGTCTTCCTATACATTTTCAGAAACAGACTAATAACTCATTCCATTGCTGTTTTGATGGTTTTTTCCAGTAAAAATCAAACCCATTAATTCATGTTATATGCATTCACAAATTAAGAAAAAAGTTCATTGTTAGCTGAATCCTACATGCCCACCCATGGAGATATTTCTTACTTTCTGCATCAAAAGAGATGTCATTCTGATAAGATTATTGGGATGTTACAGATGCAGCTGATAAAAACAAATGCATTAAATGCCAAACGATCTATATAGACTTAAAATACTTACTTAATTTAACTGGAGTTTCAAAGATTAATAGATTATACATTATTTAATAATTTGAATCTGGTTTAGCAAAGCATTTCAGGGAACATTTAACTCCTGTCTTTTGTAGTTTCATTTTGATTGCACAAAGAACCTTACCCCTACTTAAATTCTATTGGAATTATTAGGATGTGAAGAAATTTTTGCAGTTACATTCATTTTAATTATTATTATTATTATTTATTAATGATGTCATAATAAGGACAAGAACAAGCAGAGGTCCATCTAGTCCTGCATCCTGTCTCACAGAGTGGCCAACCAGTTCCTCTGGAGGTCCAACAGGTCATAGAGGCCAAAGCCTTCCACTGATATTGCTTCCTTACACTGGTATTCAGCAGTTTCCTGCCTCTGAAGGTGAAGATTTCCATGGCTAGTAGCCACTGACAGACTTATCCTCCATGATAATCTGTCTAATCCCCTTTTAAAGCAGTCTATGCCTGTGGCCATCACTACATCCTCTGGCAGCAAATTCCACATTTTAATCACTCATTGGGTAAAGAAGTATTTCTGTTTGTCTGTCCTGAATCTAATGTCATACCCCCACTCATCCCTCAACACTATCCGATGTTCTAGCTTTGTCTGAATGGTGTTCATTTTCAGGGCTTTCAAAATGTATCTTATTGTGTTTCGATTTTTAATATTTGTAACTGTATTTCTTTTCATATCCTGCTATAAAAAGGTTTGTGGATTTTGAGCTGTAACTATCTACACATCTCCCCACCAACATAAAGCACTTTTGCTTGTGCAAGGGGAGAAGAAATTTTGCTGATTCTAGCCTCTTGTTGCAGTCTACTGAGCTCCCCAAAAATATGTTCCTGGAGGATGGGGTGGGTGGGTTCAGAAACAGTGTGGGGTCAAAGTGGGGATTTGCAGTTGAAAGGAGGTATCAGTAAAATCACACTTCCTAACACTAGTTGAAAACAACTTTTGGATCGAACCCATAATTAATTGTTACTTCAGATAAAAATTATGATAATTAAGGAAGGCATATCTTATTTGAATACTACAGTATCCTCAATCCAAAGAAGCCAATACAGACACACAATATCAACTCTAACACCAAGGCAAAAGATAAGGAGACAGAAGTGGGAACTAGGTTCAGTCTGGATCCCTCTAATCCACCTAACAGTGCTGTAAGCTTTGAAAGGGCAGATCGTATTTTAGGCAGAGCAAGCATATGGCCTTCTGTTACGCTTATGGTTCCTTTGACAAGAGCTTCAGTAAAATGTAGGATGAATCATACATAACAGTACCTATGTGTAAATGTTTTGCTATATATATGTAGTTCTGAAATTCACTTTTTAAATAACAGAATAAAAGATGGCACAGATTATTACAAAGGAAAGCATTTCTGTTGAATATAATCATGACTGGTCATTAACAGCATCCCTTTAGTTGTAAGCAGTCATTTCTTATAGTTAAGACTATTTCATATCACGAAATAATTGGCTGTTCACTTATGTGTATAGTAATTTTCCAGAAGATTGCCGATGGTAATTTGTAATGGCAAGAAAACCAAAGGTTTTGTAACATCTTAGAGAGTAAATTGGATTATGGAGGTATTAACTTCTATAGGAAACAGCTAGATGCACATTTACAGGTGTCTATAATGTATTTAATAATCCCCATATTAAACAATAATGTTTCTTAAGGAATGTTGCTTTTAAAATCCTGAATCTAGAATAGAATAAATGTACATGTGCCATTCCACTATAGCAGCAGAATTTCATACATAATATTTAAAGAAATAAATGAAAAGTAAACTATTGTGATACACTATTATCCATAAACAAATTATGCATTCTAGATAAGTCACTATTGGAGAAAATAAGCTTGATGGGTTTTAACAAAACTGTCAAAATACAGAATTGAAACTTGCAGTCTATGAAGCATACTAAGGTTTTTTGTTTGCTTCATATTTAAAGTCATAGCATTTCACTACTGCAGTTTTAAACCATTCTCTGGACAAGAAATACCACGCACCTGAAAAAAGCAATTTGCTTTCTCAGTTCACTTCAAGTCTGTATCTAATTAAATCCACTCACTTTCCAAATCCCATAACCCCTTTATTGCAAAAGCAAGGAAAGGTATGTAGAGCAAAATGCCTTCTGTGTAACAGGCGAAAACTAGTTTGAAACAAGAGGCTGGGTTAATGAACACTATCCTCTAGACTGTAACCATATGGAAACCTATTATTCACTTGAGTGTAATTAAGGATGCACATTAAGATCAAAACTTTTGGTTTTGTAAACTCATGTTACCCTTAATAACAACCATGAACAATGTCCTTTCTCAACTGCTTCCCACTTTGGAGGTTTGTTGCATACCTGTGCTAAGATGGGGTTTGCTGCTTTTCACCCATGATTTCAGTGTGCCTGCTGCTGCTGCTGTTGTTTTTTAATTCACCTAGGGATTGCAGAGTTTGCAAATGTTTACACCACTACCCAATTAACTAACAATATGGCTCCAACATCTGTCAACAAACAAAGCTGTTGTTGCTTTGTTTTAGCTCCCTGGCATTTTCTGTTCATATGAGTCGCCATTGTACTTAATTATCACGCCTGATCCCGTCTGCAGCGTTTACTTTGTTATTTGAGGTATGTAAATATGTTGCTTTATAATGGAAAACAGAAGCTTTATCATCAGTCCTCTGACCACAAGACATGCTCTGGATGGCAAGCAAATGATTATGGGTGACAGAACTGAAAGCACAGGCAATCTGTAGTTTCAGTACCTTTAAAAGCAGAAATAGTGTACCTCTGATAACTCCTGTTCAGGCAATTCGCCCTACTTTAACTAGAATTCTGCTTGGGATGACAGCAAGAGTAGACTTTAGCTTCTTCCCTCCTATGCACCCCTAACCATTGGAAAAGATATAACAAGTGAACTGGGAGATTTAATATTTATGTGAATGCATGTTTACTTCTTTACCCTATTGCAGTAAGTAGAGAAGAGAAGATGTAGAATGAGAGCCCATGTCTAAGGCCAGGTCATTATTTCAGCCTGAAGAAGAATTCTAGAAGCACAGTATCAGCTTAACAGGCCCTTGTATATTGTTATTAAAGGTAAAGGTAAAGGTTCCCTTGCTCGAAAGCCAGTCGAGTCCGACTCTAGGGTTGCGGTGCTCATCTCCGTTTCAAAGCCGAAGAGCCAGCGCTGTCCAAAGACATTTCCATGGTCATGTGGCCGGCATGACTAAACACCAAGGCGCACGGAACGCTGTTACCTTCCCACTGAAGTGGTACCTATTTATCTACTTGCAATTTCTTGCTTTCGAACTGCTAGGTTGGCAGGAGCTGGAACTAGAAACGAGAGCTCACTCCGTCATGCGGCACACTTGGGTCTCGAACTGCTGAACTACTGACCTTCCACAGCCTGCAGTTCAGCGTCTTAACCACTTGAGCCACCGCAGCTCAATATTGTTATTACATACCACAAATTTTTGGACAGACATGTTTCATCAAACTTGGATTGATACAATGAATCACAAATCATGTTTACACGTCACAGTGAACAAAAGTTCAACTTGCATGTATGTGCATACATCTGTTGGTAAGAAAGTGCCAACAACCATTTATTTTACAAATGAAAATAGGGACCAATACCTGGATAAATGTGAGGTTTCAACCAAACATTCAACTACACATGCATTGAGCATAACATGAGAATTATTCAATGCATATAGAAAGAAAAATCAGGTGAACACTTTATATGGATTGTGTGTGTGTGTTCACTGTAACTTGTGAACAGTGCCACCATTAAACTTGTAACACAGCTTTGCTATTATAATGCCCACAACTGTCGACAGCTCTTAAAGACCACTTTGCTACTTCAGTACATCAGAAATACATTCAAGGTTCAAGAAGAGTTCCTTGTACTGTGGAATGTTTCCCCATTTAAACCATGCCTGAATTATATCTGTATTTCTTTAGGAAAGTTCCAAGAAGGGTAGTTTCATTGCCACTTCTGCAAACTTACTCAAGCAGTCCATTACTTTCATAATTAAGAGATATTTTGTTAACTGGAAAATTTTAATGGGCCATTATTGCCTTCTTTCATCTTTAATTTATCCTTGTGTGGGGATCATAAGTAGTGGGTGTGATAAACAGAGAGCAACATAAATTGATTCAGATAGTCCTAACTGCTGCAAAAATATTGGGTTTTTTGAATGGCAACCTCCAGCCCCATCATCCATCAAGGAATGGTTAAATAAGTCTGGAAGATCAAAGAGATGAGTAGAATCACCAATTTATTTATTTATTTTCTGTATTTCCATATCACTTTTCCTCAAGGCTCAAAGTGGTTTACAATAAAACAAGCCTATTATATCTCCCTCTCTACTCCATTCCCGATACTAGTCCCCATTGTTGAGAGAACGTTTTAGTCCTTCCTCCCAGGATGAGAGGTCTTTAATGTCTCTGGAGCCAAGCAAGGAGGAGCCAGGTGCTTCTGATGGTAATAATAATTATAATTATCATATGACATTGTGTGTAGTATAGCCAGGAGATCCTAAGATTGTCTGGCAGACAGAAGTCCTAGCTTTTTAGTGTTATGCACTACTAGGTGATGAGCTAGACTTGTTTCTGAGGCGAGAGACATTTCAGAGGTGGTTTGCCATTGTCTGCGTCTGTGTC